TTTCTTTTGTTTTATTCATAAACATTGTGCTGGTCATTCCTCAGGTTCAGATCAGAGCCTGAGAACAAACTGCATTCCAAGCCTAGTGTTTATCAGCTGTGAAAGCCGCTAATTAATTTCTCTTTCCAGAAATACTTGAAAATAAGAGAGTAGTTCTGCTTTTTAAGTTGAGCTAGTACATTTAACCTCCTTAGGACAAGTCTGTGGTGAGAATTATATGCTTGTAGCCCTTAGGGCTTAATGCCTTCAGCCATTTAAACTTCAGTCCCAAACTTTATGTGGGTGAAGTCTTTCCTGACACTTTTTAAGCAAGAAGTTCCTGAAGCTGTGTACCAAGGATCCTGCCAGGCTCTGGAGCTGAGCTCTCACCTTTACTCAACTCCCAGTGGCAAAGTAAGTGATCTTTAGAAGGTACTTGTATGGCTACTGCTGCAGTGCATACCTAGGGCTGCTTCTGAATGAAACGTGGCTTGGCCAAGCCCTTCTGCTCTAACTTACTTGGCCTGGGTGTAGTAGAAGATCTCTGTTATGCTAAATGCAGATGAGTGCATTTAGGGAATTTTACCCCACCCACATGACTGTTTCCTTTATCAAGCTGAGTAGTCTTAACCTAGCATTCTCATGTAACACCAGCCTAATACTAGACAACTGGTGAACTGCGTGGGGCAGTAATTTTCAGATTGCTATATAAATTAAATTACCTTTTATTTTCTTATAGTCACAGGAATATACTGGAATTTTATAAAGCATTAGGAAAGAAAGAGGGGTGGGGCCAGGGTAAATGTGGAAGCTCTCATTCAGAATGGGGTTATGAGGATCGAAAGGAAATTACACCTGTCTGTTATTGTGTGCCATGCGTGTTAACTGACTTAAAGGGCATCCTCAAACAATGAGAACAATACTTTCAGTGACTGTTTCAGCACATTTTTGCTCGTCATCAATCTACTGAGTGTTTAAGTGGATTTCACAGGATTCAACTGAAAGCATATTTTGCTCTACTGCATTATTTTATTTGCACTATGTCAGAAGCTTGCAAATGTCATTCCATGTATCTTTTCCTTTCTTTTTTAAACTTTTACTCCCTCGATTTCTGTAGAAATTTACATTTTCATGATCACTAAGTGCTTTGAAAATCAACGGGATTTGAGCTTTTAAGCCACTTAAATACCTTAAGATATGTAAGAATCCACATAATATTTTAATTATGAGATGTAATAGTCTGTGTGAAGATTCCATTTTTCATGAAGGTGATGAAACTGCTTCTGCTAAAGCAGTCCTTTGTGGAAGTCAAAATCTTACATACCATCCCTGACTTATTCTTGGTGGCCTTGATGTTACATAGGTTTGGGGAAGGGGGAACGCTTTGAGAAAAATACAGTTTGTCTGCAGTGGGATTCCAATCTGTGCAGATTGTTACCGAGGCTTGGCTGTATCTTTGTTCATTCTTACTTTGTTGGTGATTGTTTTGTTTGTTTGTTTGTTAATCTGAAATTCTATTCATCTTTCTGGGTTGCTAAGAAGAGAAACTGGATTTTCAGTTGGGGACTTGGATCAGCAGTGAGAATTAATGAGAATTAATGAATCAAGAGTATTTCCAAATGCATGCGATTCTAGATGATATGAATATGGATGTGGCTGCAGTGAGCTCCTCATTCTGCTGATCTGTTGTTTTGCAGTATAGGGATGTTCAAAAATTTGCTTACTTAAAAATTTTGCTTTTCAATCTCTGTAACAGCTGCTCTATTTGGTTTTTGGTGATATGTAAAAGTGTTCTTGAGAATTTCTGGTACAAGTAAGGTTGATTGGTTTGGTTTTTGTTTTGTTTTTAATTTGACTCATATGCAAAGCTTTGTTCAGCTTTTTCTAACCCTCCTTAGGTACAGAATATGGGTTACTGTACCTGCCATTGCATACTTACATAGTTTGGAGTACTGGACACTTCATTGACAAGGAAAGACATCTTGTTGCTACCAAGCTGTAGGCTTGTACTGCAGTATTCATATGAAGGGGGAAGATATAGAGTCTGCATTAGTCTGTCCTTTGTTACCTTAGTTGAGAGAAGTGGCCTGAAATCATGTTTGAAAACAAGTTGTGCTGTACTTAAAACTAGCACAAGTAACATATTCTTTCTATGAAAGAGGAACTTTCTAAGTGTGTGTGTGTGTGTGTGTGTGTGTGTGAGCACATACACCTCCCAGTTAAGACTGTGTTGTTGAAGATGCAGATCCACTTAGCGTTGGAGCCATCTCCAAAGCTGTGTCAATGATACCTATCCAGGAACATATAAAGGAGCACTGCGATTCAGAACTTGTTAGTGACTTGGACATTACCCATTTCTGTGATGGTTTAAAAATCAGTAACTTTTAAGTGGTTCACATTTCTGGATTTACTTTTTACTGTTCAAAGCATGCTTGTGACTTAACCCCTGACAGTGTCCTACTGCATGTGCAATATGGCTCGTGTATCCTCAGCTTCCTGTCCTTTTTTTATTTAATATTTCAACTGGAAAGGTTTTAATGCTCGTGTCATCTTACTTATGGAACTTCTGAAACAAACACTGAATCTGCTTAGGGTAAAGACTAAAATAAATGAGATTTTGTGTTAATATCCCATGCAAGTCTTCCAGAAAATACTGTCATATAAATAAGAGTTGTTTAAATGGCTTTAATGCAAATTCATAATGAAATGTCAAAAATGTACAATGGATTTGAGAAGTCACTTTTGCCTAAAGTAGTTTTAGTTTCCAGAGTTGAATCCTGTTGAATAGAATGGAATTGTTTGGGATTTTTTTTTTTTTTTACAGTGTTAATTATTTCCAGATGAAAGTTACATTTGGGTTTGTTTTGAGGATAGGAAAACTCTCTTTAATAGTTTGTTTCATTTTTACAGTGAAGAAGTGGAATATCTGACTATTCAGGCAACCCAATCACTAATAAGGTAGTGTGTTTAAAGCTGTCAAATCTGTGACTGTACCAATAGTGGTTTTTGTTAAGACTGGACTATCTTGGGTGCAGTAACCCACACTTCAGTGCAATGCATATTGATGTTGAGAACAATGTTATCACAATAAACAAACTTAAACTCACTTTCTTTCTTCAATTTGTACTTAGGAATTCTATTTTTGTATTGCTAATTTAGTGAATGTTGGCTTATTTAAATTGCATTTATATTTACATTTAGAGTTGCTTGCTCTATTAAGGACAACGATACATTTGCTTTCTCTCATGCTTGGTTTACTTGTAGAGTATTTATACAGCTGACAAATGATTGCTGTAATCAGACTTGCATTGTCTGCCAATATCAATATTTGCTTATATCTATAATGAAACTAAATGTGCATTATTGATGTCAGGTAACAGATGCACTGTAATCATAGATACATCTTGGGAACACACTAGCTGCCTTGAAGAAAATCCAGCGACGATGTAGCGTAAGCACTTGCAAATCTGGCCTAATTTGGAGTTTTATCCTAATTCTGTCCAAGCTAACTTTTTCCTTTCAAGGCAAAGTATTGTCTTCCAAGACAGCTGTTTAATTTGCTTGAGGTAATTATTGTGAGATCATCTTGGAAAAGGGATCTCAAGCTTTTGGTAGAAACTTACCCTTCTTGGCCTCTTACTGCTATGGACAAATGCAACTGACTAGCAGTCAAACAGAACATCCAACCATTTCAATCACAATTAAATGTATGGCAAATCTACATCAAAGTGTAAATCACGTTGTGCCTTTTGATCCTTTGCAGTTTAACTCTTATCTCTTGCATTGCTGTCACCAGTGCACACTAGCTTTCCTCTGCCCACACACAGCTTAGTGCTAGTTTTATCTCCTGCTCCAGTGGCAGAATTTCTACTGGTATTTGGAGTGCTCTGTGATTCTGCTCACGCACAGAAACCTTCTCTTTGCATCTGGGTGCTTCCCAACACTGCCCATCTTTCACACGTAGGTTTCAGTGCTCGTGCATTGTGTGCAGTGAGCAACAATGCAACTGCAAGCAGTGCAAAGGTGGGCATGTCCTGTGTATGCCCAATGTTCAGCTTTTTTGCAGAAGTATTGTCTGGTCTTGTATTGTTTTTCTGTAGCTGACAGTAAGTAAGCCTGTTTTCGGTGGGTGGGTTGATCTGTGTGTGAGAACGGTTTTAGACACGTAGAGAATTAGAGGCCTCTGCTGTAAGCTCCTATAGAGTGGTGGGCAACTGGTCACTGTGCTTTGAGGGCCTTAGGGGCTGGCAAGGAGCCTCACCAGCGGCTTGGTGGAGTCCCAAAGGAAGGTGGTTGCATGGCCTGTGAGGTGGCAGGCCTGGCCTCCCTGTGAGAGGGAGAGGTGGTGAGGAGGGGAGGCCACAGCAGGGCTGTGTCTAGAATTCCATGACTGTTCCTGTGTCTTCCAGTGCCTGCATCCAGCATGTGAGGACTCGGTGTTGTTACGTACAGTCTGGTCCTTTCTTCCTTCACAGCTGGGCTCCTGCATGTGAGTTAACCTCCACTTTTCCCACAGTCACACAATGAAGAGGTGGGCAGGCATGCTGAAGGAGTGCTGGAGGGAGCCGTGCAGCCCTAACCTGACTCAAACATCACTTTGTGCTGTTGAAGCCCACTTTCAGCAGCTGTCATCTGCAGGTAATGCTTAGCCAGCACAGAGATCTGAGGCTCTTCACTGTTTTTTTCCTAATTACTTATTCTCTCCCACCCCTTTCCTTACTATTTCTCCTTCTTCCTACCTGTCCATATTTTGTCCTGACTTCTTATAAAATTTACTCTCTGCAATCCAAATTTGGAGATTAACTGAAATAGCCAGAAACAAGGGCAGCTAAGAACTGTGTTGGCGGAACTTCTGTACTACCACAAAACCTGTACCAGTGTCTGACACTGAAGTAAATATACACAGGAAAACTTGACTAAGAAACTAGAACCTGAAGAAGTTCTAAAGGTGGTGGAGGAGAGAACAAAAATTTCAGCTTAAGATAGTACTACGTTCACTGGAAAGCAAAGGGGCACCAAGATCACAAAACAGGCAGGTTTTATTTGGACATGGCAGCAGTTGGTTTCCACTGAACAATTTTCTTCCTGTTCCTGGGTATCAGTTTCTGTACATCCATTTTTGTAGGTATACATATGCACACAAAGCACACACTCAAATGAGCTGCTCTTTGCTGGAAAAAAAAAATACTTTTCTGATACAATCAAGATAGCAAAATGCATAAATGGCAAAACCTGCTTACGTATGAACATGTTCTAAGGTGTTCTTTGAAGTCTCCCTTGTACAAAAGACTGGCAGAGCTGTTATTTTGCACCTTGTCTGAAGTCTGCAGGATACATTACAGGAGGGCTGGCTTGACTGCAAATCCACCTTGTGCTGATGATCAGCCTCGGCAGATCCTTGGTCCAGGACAGTCTGCACCATTATCTCGGAGCAACTTGGAACCAAAGCCTAGCTGCTGGTCAAAGCTCAAGGAAGCAGATGTTCCTTCAATCTGCAAGCTGACAGTGTGACAGCGTTTGTGGTTTTGGTGGAACATATTCATATCCACTACCGCACTGTACCATAAGGACTTACTTAGCAAATACAATGCTCCTGAATTATAGAATAGCCAGAATTGGAAGGGACCCATTAGGATCATTGAGTCCAACTCCTCAGGAAGAAATTTGCTCCTGATACAAATCTCTAGCTTGTAGCTGAGGAGCCCTTTGTGTGTTCCCTGTGCCTTGGGGCCATTTCATGCTCTAGTGAGGACTTGCATGCACTTTGTTTCAAATTGCCTTCCATGCCTTTTACTTACAGCTGTTCTTCTTTGGCTGTTTGTAGTGGTTCTGGAATGGCTGGTTATCCTCACCAAGCTGATCAGATGCTCTGTCAGAAGAACTGTGCAAAACTGCTGCAAGTAACCTGGGGTACACTGAATGGCTGTAGGGTGGGGTGCTGTAGAAAATCCTCATTGCTTTGAATGGTCAGTATAGTAATGTCTCCTAAGTCTTAACAGCAAATTAAATTAATGAGGTAGTTTCATATGTTTTGTGGTGAAAATTTGCCTTCTTGCTTTGCTCCAAGCTTGCCTATAATTTCCTGCAATTATTGTTTGGCTCTCTGCTGCCTTTCCCAACTGCTCCAGGATGCAATCTGTTTGGCCAGAGCAGAGGTATGTTCCCTGGCTGTCAGCTTGCTGGTCTGTCCTGTTCTGATAGGAAACAGAAGCACAGGGGACAAGATAATTTTGCTTGATTTGCCAAAGAATTTTGTTCTAATGTTTTAACGAAGTTCTGACTGAAGGACAACTGGATCTCTGATTCTCCTTTCCTATATTACAGCATTTCAATCATCCCAGCTGGGCAGATATTATGCCCTGAAAGCTCTGAGAAGATCTGAGCCACTTGCCCCGATTACAGCAATTACTGAGACAGTGGTAATTAAGGTTCATTTTTCTCAAGTGAAGCAGGAGTGTAACGCAGAGGTTCCTCATGGATGCTCATAGTTCATAGCTTTAGCTATCACTAGAGATAGTGAATAGGAAACTATCCCTGACAGCCCTACAAGGTGTTCTCAAAACAGGAGAACCACTCCTGCTGTGATATAGTTTAGAAAATTTTAGCTGCATGTGAATACTGGTTGTGCTGCACTGCATGGGATCACTCAGATCCCAGGTGCAAGGAGGGTTCCTGGCAAAAGACAGCGTTGTGCCATGAGGGCACTGTGCTCGGGAGAATGTGTGAGCTGGAGGTAGAAGCCTGGAGGAGCAGTTAGGTGAGAATCAGGTGATGAAAGCTACACAACTCCAGTGCTAAACTTGCACCACTGATTCTTAAAAATATGTCTCACTTGGAAGGGGAAAAAAAATAAAAATGAAGAAGTGGTGTTTGCCAGCTGGGACTCCCCAGGCACTCAGCTTGCTTTGTTTGTTTCCATGAGTCATTTTTAGAACAGGCACCAAAATGCAACAATACTGAGTCACACAGAGACAGCAGCCAGCTTCTTAGAGCACACAGCTTTCTTGAGGAGAGTAGAAAATATCCTAAAAGGAAAAATGCCTCTACAGCTTTCATACATAATGAGAAATTGATTCAGATATATATATATATACACGGTTGATGTAACTGGCTTTCAGAAAGACTAAAAAGAAATCTTTCCAGTCTGTCCCTTCAATTCTGAGACCTAGAAGGAGTGAGAGAGCAGTGGGCTGTTGATTTAGGACATAAGAAAGGATACTCCTGAATGAGCACACGGTTGCTAACTGCATGGTAATGGCCCCGGCACAGATCAGGACAAACTCAGGGGAGGGAGAGGGACTGGCTCCATTCCCCAGGCTGCCAAGTGTGCCAGGTGCCTTCAGCTGCTGCCTAAAGCTGCTCCTGCAGCAGAATACATCCAGTGCTACCTCGTGCTTGGCAGCAAAACCCCAACTGCAGAAAATCAGGTACCAGGAGACCTCCTTCATTCACATGCTTTAAAAATCTGTGGCCATTTCCTTCCTCTGCTCCTTCCTATATCTACACAGGCACTGACGAAGAGCTCCTGGGGGGATAGAGCTTTTTCTGTGTGCTTTTCTCAAAGGCAGCTCAACTTCCAGGATGTGATCATTTGTTGTGGGACGGTCCCATCTCATCGCCTGGAAACAGAGTTACTGGGGAGTATCTATTCCAAAACTATGCAACAAAGGCAAGTGTTCATCTGACCTCCTCAGATGGGAAAGGCTTCAGCTGAAGGCTTACAGCACAAGGAGTTCTTCCTTCACGTGAAGGAATTATCTGGTCTGTGCTACAAAAAGCCATTCTGGATTCATAAGAAGGAAAACGTACTATACAAACTACTGTGATAATAAATACAGCTCTATGCAGGATCAACAGACTATGAAAAGATGATCCACTTGTATAACATATAGATGGCAGTGAATAGTTCTGCCCATATCAAAGCATGGTTAAGATTTTTTTCCAGCCATAGAGGAGCTCAAAATGCTAACTCAAAAGAGACAAAAAACCGTTTTTCTCACCTTCACTGAGAAGTGGCTGACAGGAGAAACAGAAAATTGTTGCGGCTTAAGCTAAGAGGCAAGTTGTCCTGTCCACAGCAACTGATGCTGAGTGGTGAAACAAGTAAAACAAAGCTCACTTGAAGCAGGAGGCTGCTAAAACAAAGTTACAGTGCCTCTGGTGCGTTGTTTGTACATTGGACAGTACTGTTTAAAAAGACTGTTTTCCCATATCATCTGTTTTTCCTCTGGTCTATCTTTTACAATGCAACAAAGAAGAAAAATACCTTCTTAATGCAAATACTGTAAGAGTTCCAGAGAACAGCACTGTCAAAAGTCCTTAGAGTTCTCACCCACCCATGAAAAGCTGGGGCAAGGGTTGCTCCTCCTTGCACAGTGCTGGAGTCACTCACTCACTCTGAGCACTGCACTCGGTCCTTAAAGGCGAGAAAAAAACCTGATGCAAACATCATTTTCTTCCTTGCACCACCATGGTTAGCAACTGCTTTTTGGTTTGTGAGAACGTACTGACAACATGTTATTAAAGAACAGAAGGACGAGGAAGTCATCGATGGTGTCCTGTACAATCTCACTTTCTTGTCCCTGCTTTACTGAAAGCGCAAAAATAGCTGACTGCAGCTGTAAACTTCAGCTAAGATGTAAACTCTGATACACTTGGGATGCTGGCAGAGATAAACAGGGGATAAAACTGAAAAGGATATTTAATATAGCGGATAAGAGCGCAGTGGAGAAGTATCAACTCAGAATGCAACTGTTGCTTAACAGCTGTTCTGTCTGTACAGGTAAACAAGGACTTGGAGAAAGAGTAGTTTGGCTACAGAACCAGGTCTGCTGTAGCTATCTCAGGTAACAGGACAAAAAAAAGGTTTCATTACAGACAAATCATCACTGAAATCAAATATATAAACTGAATATATTAAAGCTTTGAATTTTATTACTCTTAATTTCTTCAGAATATCTTACCCTTCTCTCCTGTTTGATGGTGGGCCTAAACATGGGAAATAGAAGGATAAAGGAGAACCCCACTAAACGTGGAGTACATTTCGTCAGAGTCTGTGTAGGCCAGCTTGCCTCCTGTTACGACGACATTTACTTCATCTCCTGCTTTGAGGTGAAGAACAAGGTGGAATGTTCCAGGACCACCACAGGTCCGTTTCCCCGAGTAGGGTTTGTGGTACTCCAGCAGTTCCCTTCTGTACCCAGCTGTGTGCAGCTGAGCAACACTTGCATTGGAGACGGACAGCACTGCTTCAACATACTCATCCCTCTCCGGAGCCAGCACAGCCGTGATCAGGTAGCGCCCTTCATATGGTGATGTGAATATGCCTGCGGGAGAGAGACAGGCTGAGCTAGTCCGAGTTGGTCAACACAGACAGGCCCAAGCACCCTATGCACAGTGAGAAACACGAAGCAACATGGGTTAATCCTCTGCTCACATAGATAATTGCGATAAGATCAGCTCAGGCAGCTGACCAACTGGAAGCAGTTATGAAGGCAAAGGAGAGTGTTGCGCTACAGGACTCTTCCACTACCATTCATTTTAGAACTTCAGGCTCGGCTTGCAGAAAGTACCAACACCACAGGGATGTACACTTAAGTCCTGTTGCAGAGATACACATGTAATCCTACTACTTCTTTTGTGTCAGAGCCCACCAGTCCTTCAGGACTTTAACTAGCATGTCTTGTCCACACTCAGAAGCCACCTGTCCTAAGGAGTTGCCACAACTCATAGCTGGGTGAGGAAGCAAAAGGCAGCCACGTGCTGTGCAAGTGTCCAGTAGGCTGAGGCACGCCTAACACCCTCAAGAGATATGACACTTGAGAAGGAGGTGGCCATGGTAACCATCACTGGGGAGGTAAAATACATTACCTCATTCCTTCCTCTGTCCAGGCCACAGTGAGGTGGGTCAGCAAGTGCTTCTCGGCTCTAACTGGATGCAGCTGCTTGAGGTGGGGTGGGAACACAGACCTGCAGTGCTGGTGATGAGCTGTGCCTCAGCATGATTGGGGTGGTGTGGAAAACCAAATATTACAAGAGTGTGCCTGCTAAATCCATGGGAAGCTCCTACCGTGGTGGATCTGGTTTGGGTGGACTCATGTATTTTGTTTTGTTCAATGCACCACAAGGCCAGGGATGGCATCATACCCTGGTAACGTGTTATTGCCATCTGGCACCTCCGTGGGTCCGTTCTTTGGCTGTTACCTGTATTGGGGTTGTAAAAATCCCCATCATTCACGAGCACTTTGTTAAAGTGAACAACACCAACGTCACTGGAGAAAGGCTTCTGCGTGAGCCCAGCTGAAAAGGACACCAGAGAGGCCGCAGCAGCAGCAGGTCCTAAAATGGGTAAGAACATGACTTAGGGTCACTTCAGGACAACACAGCCCTTCCCTGTAATGGTTTATAACCCAGTGTCTCTGTTCCCACAGGTACACCACTCAGCCTAGCCCTTGAGGGATGCCAGAATTAGCAGACTACATACTGTTGGCCCAAGCCCCAGGTGTCTCACCATTAAAAAGACATTGAGTACTGCAACACTTCCCTTTGGCCACAGCCTCCCAGTCAGAAAACAGGCATTGCCTACAGGTTGTTTTTCCTTCTAAGGAAAAGAAACGTGGCTCATAAATACTGGAAGCGGAAATCATGCCGTACCTGAATTTAGCAAGTCTCTGCCATAAAATTTCCATGGGATTCAGGCTGCCCCTGGACATCTCTGCTCTATATCACCATCACAGTGGCAACAGAAGTGCTGAAGGTCTATAGTTCATGCCAGCTTTCCTAGTTAAGTTGAGAATCAGAGCATACAGCTCTGATTTCCTCTGCTAAAGAGCCGTGAAAATATCTACAAAAGCAACAGGTATTCCAACAAAGAGAACCATCCCTGGGGCTCTTCTCCTTTTCTTTTGGGGAATTTTTCACTCTATATCTTTACTGTTTTATAAGCAAATCAGACAGACACATGACTATTTCACAATGACTATCATCTGTTTACCAGCTAAACAGTGCAGTTACACTGGTGATTGATGAAATGTCCTTGGGACGATTAGGACAAAATTTTGCTTTTAAGCAGACAAACTTAAAGACAAGACTTAAGTGACCACCCACCTGTTCATCCTGTTTTAGTTCCCTTTCCTCTACACATTTCCCCTAAGCAGGAACACTGCCAACAGTGGTCAGCTCTTGTTTCTATGCTCAATTACTAGTAAGTAATGAATACACTTAAAGTTCCCCTTGGCTGCTCTTTCTCTTCTTCCCTATTCAGATTAGGATCCATGTCATCTCTGTGCTGTGCCAGTCCTTGCTCCTTGCTCTGCTTTCCTTAAAATAAACATTTGTTTCCTCTTTCTCTCAGTTGGACAGTGTAGCAACCAATGATACAACCATTCAATTCACTTCAGTACAAAGAAGGTGACAAATCTTTGTCCACAATGAGAATACACCAATGCCGTACTAGACTTTTCTTTTTTTTCTTTTTTTCTTTTTTTTTTTTTTTCCCCCCTGAGTAACTTGGCATGAACACAGGGGAACTTAGGGGAAGGAGATGCAAATAGCCACCAGCAGTTCCCTTCGGGGCTATTAACCAGATGTCTCATGTATCTTTGGAAATCTCCTCATTCAGTACTTAGCCTGCTTTGTGAGACAGAAGCCCTTTTAGCTGCCAATGCACGTGCAGGAGCTCCTTTGAACTGAGATGAAGTTGTTCAAAGGGCCCAAATGAATTGCAGGAAGTCTACTTAAGGAGCTCCTGCAAAGTTCCAGCACTTCAACACCACTTTCTACTCTCAGCTTACTCTGAGACTGAAACCAACAGTTAGTGCACATCAACTAACTTCTCACTGGTTGACTCAGACAGGTTCTTCTCACCTATAGCCACACAGTACAGATGGCACAAACTCTGCAGCTTGCCCATAATCGCTGTGCTGGAACTCACAGCAGCTACATACCATCCGGATGGGGAAGTGACTCCTGTCCTGGCTCACCACAGCTTCCCTTAGGTTTTCCTGCACTGACAATAATTGTTTGAATAGACTTTAGATTCTGCTGCTGAAGTTGCTTCAGATCCGCAGCCTTGTTCTTCTGAGCCATCAGCTCAGTTTCATGAGTACTGGTCTAAAGGAGGAATCTTAAATGCCTCTAAATATTTGGTAGATTAGTTTAAAAGAGGTTGTGGATGCCCCATCCCTGCAGGCATTCAAGGCCAGGCTGGCTGAGTCTCTGGGCACCCAGGTCTAGTGATTGGTGACTCTGCACATAGCAGGGGGGTTGAAACTACATCATCACTGTGGTCCTCTTCCCAGGCCATTCTATGATTCTATGATTTCCAGCTGCACCTGTTTGAAGCTTTCACAAGTCCTACCAATAGCTCTCAGCAATGCTTTTGCAGAACCTTACAGAGAAGCTAACCAACCTCCCACACATATCCCCACCTGCAAATGCTTTTCCTCACACAGAGACCAGTTTCTCCAGGCAAGGTCTGTGCTTGGAACGTCTCACTTAAGCTAGTGATGTGGAATTACAAATAAATCAGGAAGAAAAGCTTCAAAGCATTTAAAAGCTAGGAATCACATACACCATCCTCATGAAGACACAGCTTGACAGAGAAAAAGCTTCACAAAAGATTCACAGGCCCTGTGAGCTGTGCTAAAGTCACCTGTTTCTGAAATGGATCATAACTCACAATAGGAAAAATTTCTTCTCAGAAGGATGCAGTGGCACAGGCTGCCCACAGAGGTGTTGCAGTCACCGTCCCTGGAGGTGTTCAAGAACCGTGCAGATGTGGCACTGAGGAACGTGGTCAGTGGTCATGGTGAGGATGGGCTGATGGTTGGACATGATGATCTTAGTGGTCTTTTCCAACCTTAATGATTCTATAATTCATTCAGTGTGCTATGAAGATGCAGCTAATTTGCCCAAAAGTCTGTCCGTAACAGCCCTTTCTGGTCTTAACGCTCCTAATTTACAAATCTCAGCCAGAAAAGGTTTGCCCTGTGGCTGACCTACTGTTCCTTGCACAAATATCTGTCCTTTAGCCAGGCCTTCAAGTCTGCTTCTGTGAATTATGCTGTATTTTCATACAAACAGTGGCAAAACACAACCACCGGCGCAATGCCTTCCACTGCACCGAATCAGTAATGCGTAATAACCAGAATATTGTTCCCAGTCAAACAATCAAAAGGAAGGGCTAAATAAGCAAGAGAATCCATTGCAAGCACAGCAGGAGAATTTATGTATTCAATAAACTTTTTCTTCAAATCAAGGAGCACCTGCAGCAACACAAATCTTACATCACAATAAACCTCATGGTTTTATATTTGAAACATTTCCATAGCTTTACTGGAAATGGCTCAATATCAGACAAGTGAGAAGAATTAAAAAGCCCAGACCAACATTCATCTGCATATATTCAGCAGTGTTCATACAGCAGTAGGGTTCATTGGCTCAGCAGTTTTTGGTACTACACAGCACAATAATCAGAGAATCATCGAGGCTGGAAAAGATCTCTAAGGTCATGTAGTCCAACTATCCACCAACCACCAATATTGCCCATTAATATGTCCCTCAGTGCCACATTCACACTTTTCTTGAACACCTCCAGGGGCAGCCTGTGCCACTGCCTTACCGCTCTGAGATGAAACTTTTCTTAATATCCAACACAAATCTCCTATAAAGCTTCTCTGAGAGAAGCCATCACCCCTCATCAGAGCTGCAGGGTTGAGGGCACTGCCAACAATGCAAACCAGAGAGTGGGGAAGGCAGTCTGTGCTTTCAGTGAAATGTTTTCACTGTGATCCTCTGTATGCTGATCAGAGTGTCCAAATCCTCTTCTTGGCTCTGTCTTTGCCCATCTGTGTGACTGGGGATCTTCAAGCACTTTTTAATTGGCTCCCAGACCAGTTCATCAGCCAATCTATGACCTCTGCCTCTGCAAATGTCAGTAAAGAAAAGTTCTCATGGCTCTAAAATTGTCATGCTTCAATATCTGCTCATGATGCTTTTTTTCAGTAACAGTTGATTCAACGCTTTTTGTAGTAAAAGAGATTAAGCGGATGAACTTTGGTCCTGGTATTTAGCTCACCTTTATCATAAACTTGTTGTTCAGAAACAGAAATGAAAGGGAATCAGAAACAAAAGGGAGTGCTTAGAAGGCCAATTTAATAATACATGCTTTCTGCTTTAGGAATTACAGGACTTTGCTCAGGGACATGACTTAGCAGAGGGTTGTCAGATTTAGGGTAGTTTGGTTAGGTTGTGGTTGGACTCAGTGATCTTTAAGGTCTTTTCCAACCTGAGGATTCCATGATTCTATGATTCTACAGTACAAGGCTTGATCTTTCAAATTACCATTTCAGTACCGTAAAATGTGGAAGGCTGACAAAGACATCATTAACTAGAATTAGGGATGAAAGATTCCTCAACATCTTACCTAAGTCCTTCCTCCAATAAACTCCAAATCTTCCCTTCCTCAGCTGTTAATTTCTACAACTTTTTCAGCTGCTGTGTTCTGCCCCAAATAGCCCTCTGTCACTGCTATTTATAAGCAGTCCCCACTCGTATGATTAGGGTCTGTGGGTGTAAATGCCCCAACTCCAATAAGTAAAATAGCTATTTGTGCCACATCACATTTGTACCACACCATACTAACTGCTTTCTACGACCTTATCTGACCTCAGGGTGTGCAGGGGATTTTGGGTGAAGTGTGACAGATCAGCAGGTCTGTCTTATATTGAGATAGTCTTCAGAGGCATAGATAGGAGAAATAGCTCCTTGGTTGAGCCTGTCTCTCTGTAGATCTCAGGGTGATACCCTTCGTTGCAACACGTCCCACCAAGCAGCAATCATGCACATCAGCTACCCCACCCTGTCCTTCCAACATTTTCAACATGCACAAGTTCATACATTTTTAGCATAAACCTATTAAAATACTACTGCCTATAACTGCAGAAGTTTGTATAGAGAAGAATAAAGCCCCAGGATATCCATTTATCACAAAAATCTAGGCATTTATATTGACTTAGCTGGCATCAAGATAAATGAGCTTTTCTTCACATCCTTTTCCAGAAGCCTTATCTATTGCTGCTTTTTCTTGCCACTGCAATCCTCAAGATTGCTTCAAGGCTCTGATAGATTTTTAATTAGAAAGTATAGGTATCAGAATTATGACATCGAATCTTCACAGCTCTTCTTGTCAGTCCTCAGACCAGCCTTCAGAAAGAGCACCTGTGATTTTTTTAAGGCTACTAAACTAAAACCCAAGGTTGGGATTTTGGATGCCATCAAGCCCTGATTTTGTATCTACTTATGATACTTCCTTAAACAAATTTAGATGAAATCATTCTTTGTGAAGAAAGGGTGGGAATATTCACAGGATATCATTCACAAGACTTTGATAATATCCGGGGTGTGAGGCTGCAGGGCAGGCAGCACCCCATCAACATAGTTATTGAGGCCAACTAGTGTCTCCCACACAAAGGTAATATACCTGTTTATCACACAAATCCATGAGTGAATTATTATATGGACAATTATGATAAAGCCACACCTAACATAGAAAACTGCATTTTACATCTTTCTAAATGGTGGTGGACAGTGGGAAACACTCCTACTTTCACTGTAGTCAGGAACACGTTGTCATCTTTTCAACAAAGGCAGAAACTCCCCCGTGAGGAGGACCAACTCACGTGCTATCTCAGTTACTAACAGTGCTTCAAGACCTTAGAATCAGCCTTATTAATATCTTACTAAAGAAATATTAAATTCATTGGAAAGAATTATCTATTTCTTCACTTAAAAGGAACAAAGTCAGTCCTGACATTTACTAGGAAACAGAAACTATAATAAAAAATAAAAAAACAACCTCACAAAATAAGCAACAAGAGCCCCAAATGAATTATTTTTTAAGATCAAATTTTCAAAAGATGCAGATTTAATGCCTGGGTAGAACAAAAAACGCATCAGATTTTCCTCAACATCACTTTGTTCTCCCAGCCAGCACTCTCCAGAGTCTGAAATAAAGCACCTGTGCAAAGAATTTCTAGGAAACAATGATCTTACCTTGTGAGTCTATGTTTGGAGGTGATAACTTTGGATATCCTGAAAAGGAAAAGTAATATGTGTTGCAATGGTATGTAACTGAGTACATTATGACAGAGAATCATTGCATTCTTCTAGAAAAATATCCTCTGTTAGCATAAAATAGCCTACTGAAATAGTTAACAAACAGCATCTCCTACAAAATGCTCAGGTTATCGTTAAGCTGTGGTGGTTGTGGCAAAGAAAACTAAATTCTTATTCTAATACACTATAAGCACTACAGGAAGAAAAAGTTAGTTCTCCCTAGTGGCAAATGCTGCTGTACTCACCAAGAATTTTACGTCAGCCCCACTGACATCATGCTCTGCACAGCCCTGACAAAGGTAACAAAACTGGTACTGAGCATGCTTCCATCGCCAGCTGGAGGCTGCCAAGCTCCATTACAAATCACCTCTGCCATAAGCCTGCTCCAAATAGCTGTAACGGGTGAACAGGAAGGCCCCCCCAGAAAAGACCTGGCGTGTCCATGGGTCTTACTGAAGAGTTCACTATTCGTTTGACTCTCACCTGGTGCTCCAGCGTACCCCTCTGCAATGGGCATGGTGCTCTGACCAGCCTGACCATCGACGCTTCTCAGCCGGCCTCTCCCTGACATCAGCACCGTGCCAGGAGGTCCGGCCTCCCCGGTTTCCAGGATGATCCCGGTCGTGCCAGGCAGGAATGGAGTCAGGGCTGAGCCAGGCAGCCCCGGGCGTGCAGGCCTGGGCTGTGGCGGCTGCAGCGGGGGCCGCTGCCGTGGGGACTGGATCCTGGGCCTGGAGGGCAGCAATGGTGCGCCAGGCTGGGGCTGCAGCGCAGGTCTCGGTGGCACTGCCTGCCGCGGTGCTTCTGGTCGCCCTTTGGAACATTTGAAGAAGAAAATAACCGAGAATTATTTGCCTAACACAGAATTGCTGCATGCACATTGATGGAAGTATTTCAGAATTAAATGGGACTCAATTCAGGACCATCTTACCACTCAGACACTGAGCCACGTGGACAAAACTCCACATTGCACTTGAAATACTACAGACTGCCCACTTCCTCAGCCTGTGCCACAGGGATGGGATGAGCAACAGTCAAAGCAACCTGTGAACACTCCCTTGATTAGTCCAGCCTGGGCTTTCTGCACCAAGCCAGCCTGTATTTTACAGCTGCCTCCCACCAGTGCTTTCATCCCCCGCCCCATGCTCTCCTTCCTTCCTTCACGTCACTCCTGCTGACATCTCTTCCTTCTACTCTGCCCTCAACACCCAGCACAGAGCAGACTTGTTCATATCCAAGCCTTGAGCTTGAAAAAAAATAAATCCACAGAAGAAAAAGAGTAAATGGACACTGGCTTAGGGATTTTCCTCTCCTTTGAAAAGCAATGAATTAATAATTCTAAGTGCTCCCATTACTAATATTTTCTAACAACAAAGACAGAACCCCAGGATATAATTTACCCAAAGTGCCTTTATTGTTTAAAAAGAAGAGATACCATTAAGAGAGTTTTCCAGCAGGGCAGCCAATGCATATGACATCAGGGCTGACACAGTTACACTTGAGATCTGTTCCAGTTCTAAATTCCTTATAGGAATTATGATGTATTCATATAAATGAAGTCCCAGATTAAATTTAAGGATACAATATCCTCTGAAGTGGGAAGCTGAATTATGTCTACATCAAGAATGGTATTAACAAAAAAAAGTTCCTGCCTAAATGCACATTTCAGCATAGTAAAAAATTTCCAACTATACTGCTATAGTACATTAGCACTGGATATATTTGTTGAAATTTAAAACTGAAACATGACTTTAGGCAAAGGGATGGGAGTGAGAAATGGACAAACGTCCCCTTGCAAACTACCCAATTCAACTCGTCATGCCAGACACTCCACCAGAGTCTGCAGCAGGACCCAGGCCCTCCATACCTCTCATAAGAACTTCACATAAGCTTTCCAAATCACTATAAGGCTATCCAAAGTTACAGTCTCGTAACACCTGCATTCATTTGCTATATATGCCCTCTAAAAAAGTCTTCCTGAGTTTTGCTGGCTGATTTTACATCAGTTCTAAGAGACAAGCAAAGGAGAGTGCACCCTCTGGGAAATGAGGAGAACTGGCTTCTTTAGACATGAAGAAAGCTGAGGTACTTAATGAGTTCTTTGCCCTGGATTTAAACTAAAAAAGGGGAGATTTAGGTTAGATGTCAGGAAAAAATGCTTTACTAAGAGGGCAGTGAGGTGCTGGCACAGCTGCCCAGAGAAACCGTGGTGCCCCGTCCCTGGCGGCACTCAAGGCCAGGTTGAATGGGGCCCTGGGCAGCTGAGCTGCTGGGGGCAGCGCTACCCATAGCATGGGGTGGGACTGGGTGGGCTTTGAGGTTCCTTCCAACCCAAACCTTTCTGCAATTCTATGACCCTAATTTGTGATACAATGCTAACAGTTAATGTTATCTCTCACTGACGTAATGCAGAGTGTACGGTCTGTTTCTTACATTGTAAGTCCAGCAGATGATGTTTAGCTGTTATTTTTCAAACTCTTCTACAATCACCAGAGGAATTGCAGCTCAGGTCAAATAACGGTAACCAAAGCAAACTGCAAGCAGCTGGCTTTAAGACTATACTTCCATCCACCAAAAAGCTTCATGAATCTGCATGAAAAGCCAGCAGCAAAAAAGAAACCTCTGACTTTGACACCACTTAGTTTCACAACATTCGAAGAACAATTGTGCCTGCACAGAGGAACAGACTGCAATGAGAAGCTCTTCTGCAAGGACTTATAGTATAAGATGAAGAGCTGGGGGCAGCGATCATTTTATTTTGGACAAAATATGGCTGGATTGCATTACCTTGGCAAATACATCATATGCAGTCATTTATGTGCTTGGAGCAGACCACCACCTGCCATCACCTTGTTTAATGCTAACAGAACAATGTTATGCAATCTTCACCAGAAATCCAAACTAATACCACATGCTTCTGGCCTCTGGGTCTCTATGTGCTGTCATGTGCAGCCATTCTCTAATGCAGTGTCTTAGTTTGGACTCTGAATTCAAAACATCTGAATAAAAAATTCGGAAGAAAATATAGCAATGCTCCTAGATTAAGTGATAAGAGTTGAAGTTGTATTCCTTCTGAAGTATCCTTGCCTTACCACCCCCAACAACCATATATTAGTAATGAGTTGTTCCAGTTCTGGTCCTTCTGAAGTCAAATGATATCACTTGAATGCTATGATATGCTGGCAAATAGCACAGAAGAAATTTAGCACTGATCTACAGCCAGAACTGAAAACCTTTCCAATCAGCATAGGTATCAGAGAGGATCCCGCAGTCACACATGAAAGTAAAAACCGTTAGAGCCGTGCCCAGCTCCCGTAACGGGGCTCCCAAACTGCTTTCCAAAGTGGCTCTTTTGCCAAAATCTTTCTGGACCTCCAATTATCAAAGTTTACCAGACTGCTGTGCTAGACAGTATTATTTTAATTGGAAACATTCGAGGATCAACGCATGAACCCTTGAGGGGCCAGAAGCAGCTTGAAGCAGAACCAGCCGCCCAGGTTACTCCACTTCCCAGCTCTAACAGCTGGGCTTCTCCCTGGGTGCCTTAAAACCCAGTGGTGGATACAGAGAACAGCTCTGCTATGAAACTGAATTATGCTATGGCAGCCCAGGTAAGCTTAGGCTTTTTAATGCCTTATAATGCTGTAATAGATGTTGAGAGAAGATTTTACTATGAATATCCAAGAATTTTGGACCTCTTCTATTCCTCCTCACTTCTGCCTTCAATGGAAGAGAATTAAAAATAATTAAATTAATTAGTACTTAATACAAGAGCTTCTCACCTCAGAAGGAATTTTGTGTTAAGTACTGCAATGCATTTGGTCTTAATCAAACACTCAAAACAAACACGTCTAGCACAAGCTTTCAAGTCTTTGCCTGGGGATGGGAGAAGCATTCTTCCCAACAGAAATTACTTTGGATCTTTCCTGAAGAAACTTTTCCATGCACACAAGCAGACTCTCAGTTATGCATCAGATTTTTCCCAAACAACACCAGCTCCAACAACTTATGAGGTTTTCTTTTAGCACCTTTTCTTCAGATTTAGGGCCAGACACAGAAATTGGCCTCTTTCATACTGCTCTCTCACCACCCGAATGCATTCTGCCCTCTGAAGACACCAACTTCATCCAAGAATTAATACTCCAGCAGGACTGGACAGACCCAAACATGGCACCTCTATCTCGATTTTTGACACAGTAATTTGCCTTGTGTCAAATTTACCTCAGATATACACCGAATTAAAACGAGAAGCATCTCCTGCACTACACAACCAACTGAAAAGTGAAATTTCAGAATAGTCTGAACTTCCTATGTTTTTTTTTCCTCATGGAAACAGAAACAGGAAACCAACTTGCTTCAGAAAACTTCGACTCTTTCAAAAAACATTGCTGAAATTTTAGGCAAGAACTGCAGAGGGGAGTGACTGGCATTTGGCAAGGTCTCTAAAACCATCATAGCCAGGTTCACTGACATGCAGAAGTCACCATTTCATGGTATTATGATCCAAACAGGATGTGCCTCTGCTTCTCAACCACTCTGACACAAACTTGAAACTCACCGGGAAGGCACATTGAGCTAACAAGTTGGATGACTAACAGAAATGGCCGAGACGTGAAAACAACGCCAGTGGTGACGTAAGCATATTGTCAACTTGCCAACTACACTGTGGGAATGCAAACTTCTGGCAGGGCTATGAAGTGTTAAATCGACACCTCAAAATATGCCAGAGCTTGTTTGTGAAAGCTGCACATGAAAGAGTTGATGCTGAGTTATAATTATTAACACATGCTGTGGAAAAAACTTACAGGGAATCTTTCTTATCTTAAATTCAAATTCCTTTGTCTTCAGTTTTCTCAACTTACCCTTAAATTCCCCTGGAGGAATCAGCTGGGGGATTCTCACACATAATTTCACATATACACACATACGAAAAATAAAGCTGAACAAAATTAACTGGAATAACACCCACAGATAACTATTAACTATAACTCATTTAAATACACTATCTAAAAATATTACTTATTCTGGCTTAAAGAAGGCATGAAAGTACATGGTACTTTTTTTTCTTTTAAGAATGCTTTTAAAAAGCAGTCAAAGTTCTCAATGGTGTTCTAAAGCAAAGAGTCAAAATTGCAGTTGTAAAAACAAAGCAGTAATGGTGTAAAATTATTTTTTTCCTCCTTTGTTTAGTTAATCTATATATGATTCTGAAAAGAAGGCCTGTTAAAAGCAAATAAAACGGCATTAAAAAGACAGGAAAACTTACTTGTGTCAGACTGTGATTTCAGCATGCCTTCCATGTCTGTGGTAATTTTAGAGACCTGACTATAAAACCGCTGGACAGAATTTTTGAGGCCAGAAATATCTTTGGAATGAGATGATATAGTTCCATTCATTTCACGTATGCAGTTCCATAAGCTGCTCACGTGCTTATCTAGACCTTCTTTTATCTTCTGCAAGCTACCCGAAACAGAGTCCAGCTTGCCACAAACCTTTTCAACACGTGAGACTCTGCTCTCAACATCTGAAACGCCGTCCTGCATACTATGGGTCTTTTCTTTACACTTGCTATGATCATTCAGGATTTGGTCATTTAATTGTTCTAGTCTCTCTCTCACTTCACTGCAGCAATTATCACTAGGATGAATGGTTTGATTTGCAAATGTCTTCTGCATTTGATCAATTTTTCGGTAGACACCTCTTTGTGTCTTTCTACAGGTTGAGTTGACTCCCAGAAGTTGCTCCTTGCAATTATTCAAGCCATCTTGAATATTCTTCACATCTTTATCCATGACATTTAGACTATACCGGAGTACACGTAAATCTCTCTGTATTTTCTGGTTGTCACGCTGGTTGCCCTTAATTTTCTCATTAAGAGAGCTATTTAAAAATTGCAGAAGAGCAGAGTTGTTCTCTGTTTTCATAAGCAAGTGACTGTAACTGTTATTACAATTTTCTAGCTCTTTCTGAAGGTTCTCCATACCTTCTGGTACAGACTGACACTTCTGCCCACAGAGGCGTTCAAGGGACAGCAGTTTGTTTTTCATGAGATTCATCTCTGCTGTAAATTGCTCATTTGCAAACCCAGTGTCACTGGGCATGATAGGCACAGGATTCATGTACATTCCATCTGGGTCTGTGGTATTAGCCATCTCTAAAATAGTGCCACCCAGCCTATCTTCTAGTGCCCGCAGTTTTTGGTCAAACAAGTCTCTCAGCTCATCTGCCTCAACAGCTATAGTGTTTCGGAGAGTTTCCTCAACGTAAAAGCAGTGCTCTTCAGCATTTCGTTCAGTGATGTTCATCCTTGCATCTAGCTCCTCCAGCCTCTCACCAAACATGTCTTCCAAATCTGGAGTTGACAATCGACTGATTTCATTATCTATTCTCACGTTCAAGATCCTGTGTGCTTCCACAACTCTGTCAAGCTTCTTATCTAAATCTTTTATCTGCTGGTCCAAGTCATTTCTCTCACTCTCCTTGCAGCAACTGGAATGGTTTGATGGAATCTGAGTACGGAGAGAATTTATCTCCTTCTTCAAGTCATTTTCTTTGCCTTTTATAACATCTATTATACCTAAACAGTTATTTTCATTGTCATCACACTGCTGCTGGATATCTTGTAGTTTGTATTCACAAGAGTTCTTCAGATCTGCCATTTTCTTTTCAAATCCTTCCAGCAATTCCTGTCTGAGAGACTCAAATCTTGAGTCTATATATTCCCGATATATATTGTCACTAGGCATTGTTATTGTGGGTCCCTGTGCTGCCTCCTGCAATTGTTTTAACTGTCCTTCATAGCCTTTTACTTTACCATTCAGTTCTTCCAGCTTATCATTCCTGTTCTTCAAGGCCTCTTTGACCTCAGCTAGCTCAGACTTCAGATCTTCCACTTCAAAATCAAGAAAAGGGTCCTTCTGATCTTTATTGCTGAGTCCAGGCAGATGAATACTATCTGTTTCACCACTAACTGCACTATCAGGCTCTGGGCGATCATAAAGGTTGTTCAGCCAAGTGACCAACATCTTACTGGCATCTTCTTGAACAGTCAGCTTCAGATTTTCGTTCACACGTGCCAAGGAGGACTGAAGTTCTATCACCGATCGCGTAAGTCTAAATAATTCTTCCTCAAAAAACTGCATTTTCTTCTCATGTGGTGGAGGTTCTGGCACTTCTGTTGGTTCAGCATCTGTTTCAAAGAAATAGCAGACAAAGTCTTTACATAAGTATTCCTAGCTGTGTCTGTTTCAGTCAACGGAAAACGATTGTACTTTTGCTGAAATCCAAATAATGTTCTAGAATGCACAATGTTAGTTCCTTTTCCTGTCAGTTCTTTCAGTAGTTTGTTATTAAAATTCTACCAAATATTTTCAAACTCGAAGTTTTATAACATTGACCAATTCCTGCCATGATACTAATTGTTAAATAAATTAGCAAGCAGAAAATCACTAATACAACGTTACAGATTTATACGTGTCAAGACACAATTTTCTTAGAACAATGGTATTCTCTGTAGCAATAACTTAGCATGTGCCACTCTTAAATTTCCATTGAAGATTTGAGTAGCAACAACCTATGTGCATTAAGAGGCTTTGTGCTCCAGTATTTTGCTGAGTTGAGTTCAAATGCATATACTGGATAGAGTTCTTCACTCTTGTTATCACACTCATTGCAAAATTATGCAACCCTAGCCCTAACTTGATACATATTTAAATAGTAAACAACGCATAATCTCTGCCTATCCAAAACTAAACTAACACTGGCGCTACGCACTTCCAATGAAAAAAGTACAAGCAGACTATTTATTTACATACCTCTGTGCCATTATGCACTAAGAAGCAAATTCTGTAACAACAGCATCCACAGTCCCAATTCTGATTTTGCACTATATCCTTCTTATAATTCAAAATTCAAAGACCTTTGCACAGTTAAGGCATTCCGTTACAGGAACAAGTAAAATGAAGTTAAGAAGCAGAAGTGAAGGAGAAAATATACTTTATTATGGAAAACAGATACACAAATTCTTAGCATCAGAAGAGTTCTTTCAGATGACAAGTAAACAGCTAAGAATAAGAAAAGTCTCCTGTCAAATTGTGTCTACGTTGCGCTCAAGAATTGTTAACAGTTTAATTTTCAGACTAAAGAATCCTAGCACTGGTTCCAAGCTGCAAGGTAAGACAACATTAAGATAGGCTCTGAAAGCCACGAGATCGGAATTATTCTTAGTTTTAAACTGGATTTCAGCTTGAAGACAGCATAAAGGATATTCAAGACTGGCATGGTGGCCAATTTAATACTGAAGAAGTATGAACATATGGAGTGTAGCTACTACATACACATTGGTCCATGTTTTCACGGAAACAGTTTTTTGGGGATTTTTTGTAGGAGCAGAAAGAAAATCTCTCTATATAAGCAGCATACAAGTTACTAAAGAGATTGCTGTGTTTTATTATCAACCTTTGTGCAACACCTTTGGAAGTAATATTTTAGGTGGGCTACTAAAATATTTAAAAGCCTTATTTTTAAAGAATGTATATAATCTATAGGAATAATTTAAAGCCATGTATTCAAACCACTTCATTCAACTACATTAAAAAAGCCACTGGAAATCTGACTAAGTGCTATATGTGATATTAATCTCCTGTGATGCTGTGAAAAAGCCCTTTAGAAGGAAACATCTTTTCATCATCTTTTCTTAATGGTAAAAGTCATAATACTACAGTAAGAACACTCCTCTTACCCTTTAAGAATACAGTATCTCATACAAACATAATTCATTCTTTAAGGTATTTTTTCAGCATTTGAGGCTTATTATTCCCTTACCCATTACTTAAGGCAAGTAATCTAGTATTAATATGTAAAATCTGCTCAAGCCCTTGAACAAACAAAGCACTGTGAAACTGCTAGGAAGAATTTCCTAGTATTAAAATTAGTACGTTCTTTTTTGTTTTAATAGCAGCTCCTCTCAAATATATCTTTCTTTCCAAAGACTGAAGAAACAAACAAACACAAAATCTCTTCATACTACTAGAAAGAAAAAAAAAAAAAAAAAGAAAAAGACCTTAATATTTCCCTGAATCATGAGCAGAGAGCTGGCATTTATTGGCCAGTGTTCCACACCCATCCCTCCGTTGTTCTTCAGGAAATTCTCAGTAATCTTAATACTGTTGCCTGGCTATTATTTTCCTGCCACACAGTATCTTGCATACAGATCCTGTACCTGCCAGCAGTTGAGTTTAATCAAAACCATAACGATTGTTAAGAGGACAAAAGCAAGAAACCAGACATGATCATGCATACCAAAACTGAAAGAAAAAGTTACCCAAGCCTTTCTTCACAATAGCTTTTGCTGGTGCTGTGGGCCGACGAGCTGCCCTAGGCTGTTCCGATGGCCCTTCTCTGCAGTCTTCTCCTTTGTACCCAGGACAGCATCTCCATTCTAGCTCTGTCACAGTCTTATATGCAACCGTGTAGCGAGGTCTGAAACTTGTTCGGTATCTGCCAAAACAGAGAGTATTTTAAATTATTTGTAATCTCATCTGTTATCCAGATCAAACCTAAAATCAAGACTGTTTTCCCTTTAAAATCATTTCACATGTACTTCATTTTCTTCTTGGAACACCAAACGAACAAATGTTTTTGTCCAGGTTTTAAAGTTACCTGCACTTAACCAAGGCCAGTTCAGGGAGAGCAAGCATGGCCAGAGCAAGTGGGATAACGTGCTGGGGGAAGGGTCATCCACCAGACACTGCTGAGAGTAACAGTGACTGCCAGAGTATGGATTACTCTATAAATTCAAAACTTTTCTCCTCTAACTACTTGTCATCACAAACCAACCCATGAGGCTCCTCCAGCAGTAACATGATATCACAAAATGTTTCTGCCAGCTTTGTCTCTCCATAGTCACCACTTAAACATTCCTCATGATCTGTGTGTACAGAGCAGTTAAAGCCAGGAAGACTATTCCAGGAAAAGACAAAACACTGAAAGCATGAGTCAGATAAGGACATGAAAGAAGGAGCTGGAAGAAAGGCAAGGGCCAGTGAAGGAAGCAACTCTTCCTCACTTCATTGTTCCAGTTAAGCTCAAGAGGGTCTTGCAGACAAACCTCTGCACGTTACGTGCATACAACTTCAAGGATCCCTAATTATTTGCTCAAAAGTTATTAAATAGCAAACTGCTTCTAACTGTACAACTTTCTTTAACCAAGACTATTTTCACAGTTTTCCTTATGCACGTATAATATAGAATCCCCCCAAGCCAAATTTCAGAAGCTGTTTTCTTTTATAAAAACTGCACCAACTTAAGGAATAGCTTATTTGGATTGATAAAAGTAAATATGTAATAAAGAAAGAATATGGAATAAATATGGACTAAATGAGGAAAATAAATACAACAGGAGTGGTACACCAGGAACACATTCTTCAACATAAACAAAAAGTTATCCCAATTCCTCATACCAATTCCTTTCTGTGAATAAAACTAATTGTATAGTGCCTACAGTTTTTAGGACTTGTTTTTTGAAGACCATTTCAGTTTGCTTCCATTAAAGACAGACATGCTTCCCAACTGAGGTGCCCTGGGAGTAGTAATACCATACAAGAAACAAAAGGCAGCAGCAAAGGGCTCAACAAGAGCTCTCCAACAGATTTCATTCATACAGGATGTCTTTTAGGACACAGAATACAGTGCAGAACCAGAAACAGCTGTGCTATCACAAAGAATCGACTCCATGTTTCATTCAATGTTTCCTTGTATTAGTATGCAAACTCCCTTTTTGTCTCAAAGTAATCAGTAACTAGCTATCAGATGGAAAGTATTGTGCCAACTGTGAAGCAGTTCGTACTGAATGTAACAGAGTTTAACTGTCAATCTCCATGACTTTTCCCGCCACATTTGTATATAATTAAAGAATTATATATATATATATTTATGCAACATCTCCCACTTCACAGACGTAATTTTAATATGTCCTACATCTGATAGCCATTTGCTGTGTGCTTTTTGGTGAGCTGCTTCACAAATTTGGGGTGGGGGAGTTCAAAGTGTTAAATACTAATTTGTTTCTTCTCCAGTTCTGCAACAATATATTCTGATTTTTGCACAGAGGAAATACTTGGTGCTCTTTTGTGTTACCACTTCATCTATAATCACAGCATCATGGAATGGCCAAGGTTGGAAGGGACCTCAAAGATCATGAATCTCCAACCCTCCTGCCACATGCAGGGCCACCAACCTCCCCATTTAATACTAGACCAGGCTGCCCAGGGCCCCATCCAACCTGGCTTTGCACACCTCCATGGACGGGGCATCCACAGCCTCTCTGGGCAGCCTGTTCCAGCACCTCACCACTCTCTTGGTAAAGAGATTCCCCATGATATCCAACCTTCCTCTTCCCACCTTCAACTTAAAAACACTTCCCCTTGTTCTGCCATTATCTACCTTTTAACCTTTCATTAAAGGGCAATAAGTTACTTTGACCAGAGACATTGTCCTCTTTTCACAACTGTTTTGGGGCCAAACAGTAGTCAGTCTGACAAGCCATACTGGATTCTCTTTTCTTTTAACAGAAAGGCAAGGGTGGGTCTGGCTGTAAATCTGTCTGTCAGCCACTCCCAGCTATGGTGGTCTGCTGCGGTTATCAGGTTTTCTGATTCTGACTTGGTGAACATTAACTCCAAGTGAGTTTCCAGTCTTTTTTTTTTTCTTTTTTCTTTACCTTTGCAATAGCATACGTGAAACAGCTGTGGGCTGGTTTCAAGCTCATAGTTTCTTTTACTGCATTCATGAAAACGTCTGCTGAATGCTGTTTACAAATGTAAAGTGCAGACATCTCAAGGTCAAGTGCTTAAAAATTAAATAGATGAGTGCAGCATAGAGGGCACCACTGTAAAGGACAACATCCCAGCCACCCATGAACTTCCTTTTCCTTCTTGCTTATCTGAATGTTAAACCACATCTCACTTAGGGAGTTTGGGTACAACTCCCTCCCTTTGAACCAGCTGCTAGAGGCAGAGAAGTGTCAGGATTAGCTAGATGCTTTAGGGGTTTGAAGTGGTTGAAGAGCCATTACCATCTCTCACACAAGCACCACATTACTGAAGTACAAACTCAAAATCCAGATCAATTTTCCTATGCCGGAAATGGTAGTACATACTTTGCTCTGATTTCCATAAAGCACTTCACTGCTCACAGCTCTGTGTGTGTTCCTTCCCACACTTTCAGGGCCAAAATCCCTTCTGCAAATCCAACTACTTTGACTGTCTTCAGACACCACCAAGTTGCATTTCCTTATTTCTTTCCATAGAGAATGTTTACGCTATATGTTTTATATATTTATTATATATATATAATGTTTTATAGCTAAAAACAATTCTGTAAAAGGAATAAAAACAACTGTAGTGCAAAATACGTATTTGATTACTCAAATTATACAATTTTCCTTGTACCATCTCTGTCACTTCAATCAGAGCTCAGACAAGTTTATGCATACTTCCTCTACTGTCATGTTCATCAATGCAGCCACCTTCAGATGACTTCAACATTCAGCTAAAAGTAAATTACAAGACACTATCACATACAAAAGAACAACAGAAAAAAATCTGAAGGAATCATGCTTAATATTTTTCATATGGGCAAATTATACAACTTTTTAAAAGAGGTTTTTAAAGCCAGAACTTTGCTCACAGAGTGGATTTCAGTAGGGGAGCCACAGACTTCCAGGGCTGTGCCAGCATTTAACAGTGTAATAGCACCAAACACAATTATATCCTTGGAAACGGTTCTGACAGAACAAAAGCAAAACATAACTTTCTGGTAGAGAGAACATCCAAAAAATAATTTGCAGTTCTACATAATTAATGACATAGGATCGGGAGCTACTGAATAAGTCTGTATTTATATTTGCAGTACTTCCAATCAAATTGCTCACTTATATTCATATCAGGGCATACGAAACATACTCGGAATAGGAAAAGAGACAACGTCAATATAACGTTGCTTCTCTACACAACTGGACAGCTTTTAACAATATTTTATACCCATATTTTATCTCATAGATGTGTATCTCTACACAGTTACCTAAGGAAGCAGTTTAGTCAAACAGATTCAGAAAAGTTCCTCAAGTCACTTAAAGAACTCTGGCCCCACTTTAATGCCTGCAAATATTGGAACATAACTTAATAAGACTTAATAACACATTAAGTCTTCCTCCAGTTGATTTCTGCTATTCAAGTAAGTGTTAATAGTCACAATTATTTTTACAAGTATCTCACAGATTGCAATGTTTTTATTATATTATTAAAACTTGTACCACCAGCATTTATTGTACCTCAGTAACCCACCCATGAGGACCCCCAGCTAAAGAAGATGATCATATCCTTTTGTTGAATTAAGTCAAATAATATTAATGAGGTCATTCTTTTAGAAAGCATGAACAGAGTGATTTCAACAGTCTCATTTTTCCCTGAAAGAAAGAAAATAAGAACAGCTGGGTTTTTAGGAGTCTTTCCATGACAGAGTTTTAGCAACTAGTGCCTACTACCTTTGCCATGAATTCAACACCTTGATCAAATGAGACAACACATTCAGAACAGTAATGTACATCTCCATTTTTAATAACTAAATATTTCATAGTTGAACTGAAGTAGTACAGTGCAGCAGTAATGTTCAGTGTCTCTTCCTCTTTGAGAGGAAAGTATTTTCTTAGGAAAACGCTTTAATTAAAAATACATGTTTGCTTCAAAAGCTAGACGTTTTGACTATGGAATGAGCTATAATTTTCTCATGGTGCTAAACCACAGAAGGAAGCAGTTAGCACTGATATTTGGAATGTCACCTAACAGCGATAAAACAAATCAGAAACATTTGGACGGAACTGGTGGGAAAACATATGGCTCAGTTCTGTAACTAGATATTAACATCCAATCTTTAGGGAAATGCAAGGAGATAACTGCCACCACATCCTCACTGTGAGCAAGGGACTGCAGAATCAGCATGTTTCTACATAAGCAGTGTATAAAATGTTTATTCTGAGCACAAAACTTCAAGGTCAGTCCAGAATTCTGTAGCCATTGGAACAGGTCCCATAACTTCAGAGGCCTGCAAATCGTGGTCTTATTGAATATAAGATAGCTAATCTTCATTACTTAATGCTTTCACTGAATGTAGATCCACTTTTTCTAAATGATCTAGTATGCTCTGGCACATCCCAGTCATCCAAATCTCCAATATACTTCAATGGGGGTGCTGGAGTAGCATACAACTCCTCCTCACGCATCACTTACCTATAAGATAAAGTGAAATGCAATCACATTTTGGAAAAGTTTTTTTTTTTTATTTTGCAGGCTGAAGGGGCTTCGGCTGAAAATATACCTCAGTTGTCCATTCCTCCCACACAGCTACTGAGCTAGTAGTAGTTAGCCCAGCGTCTTCTATTTCCCAACTCTCTAGACCTACTTGTAGCCCCTACAAAAGGTGGCAGAAATTCCAGCTCCAGT